GATAAAAAGTTTAGCTAAAACACTATCTGCCCTTGTGTAACTTACAGACCAGTAAGTAAAAATACACACACACACACACACACACATACACGCACACACGTGCACCCACATATCCAAAAACAAAAGAATACATAATATATACATCAGGAAAGAAAATACTATCCCTATTTGCAGGTTACATTATAGTATAAATTACTGAGATGATTAAAAACTACAGCAAATCTATAGGACATAAGGTAAGTCCACAGAAATCATCAGCATTTCTATATAGTACTAAGAAAAGCCAAGAAGAAAAAAAAATAAGATAAATTCAGTTCAAATAGCTACAACACACATAAACTATCTGGGAGTTAACCTACTTATTTATGTAAACATCACTATAAAACACTCAATAATAATAATAAAAAGAGACTAATTATTGGAAAGACAGTCACTGCCCATGGTTGGGTTGTGCTGATATAATAAAAATGACATAAACCGATTTACAGATTTAATGCTATACTAATCAAATTACTGAATGGATATATTTTAGAACTAGATAAAATAATAAAATTGATTTCAAAGAACAAGAGGTCTAGAATCTCAAGTAAAATGATTACAAACATATAAATGGATAACATCAGCAGACTATGTTGTAAAAAAAAAAATTCATCAAAATTATTTGGTTCCAGTTTAAACAAACAACATTAGAAATAGATAAATGAGACCAATTAGATAATTGAGAAAGAAAAGTAAATGAAAACAATAATCCAGGGTTAAAAACAAGTAGGAAAATCTGCTAGGATATCAAGGTAAAGTATGAGTAAGTGAAATAATAAGGAAAAGACAAATATGAGAGTCTTGTAGAATTAATAGAACTTAGCAAATAATTGGACACGGGAGATGAAAGGGAAGAAAGAGCCAAAAATAACCCAAAGGTTTGAAACAAAGAAGACTAAGTGAATGGTGATGTCATTAACAACAACAACAAAAACTAAAAAGGAAGAACAAATACTAGGAGAAAATAAGCTCAGTTTAGATTTGAGGTCCTAGCATGCTGTATCAGTAGACAGGTCCAGAAGGTAATCTGAAATGTAAGTTGAGTGTTTACAAGAGATGTCAAGTTTTAATGCCTTGCTAAATATTGTTTTGCCTCACCTTGGTAACAAAAAGAGGTTGAAAAATGGAAGAGTTAAATAAAGCATCAAGTTTTTACTAGCATTCTTTTCTCACAGGCAAAGGAATAACCAGTATTAGTGCTTGATTAGTAGAAAGAAAAAGGTATGTTCACTTGCCAAGCATCTTATAAAAGGGATTCTTTTCCTTTCCTAGAAATGGGTTGACTTAAGTGTCCTCTGAGGTCCAGCTCTACTTTATATTATTAATGATTTTAAGGGAAGTATCAATAAAGATACCCTTTCAATTAAGATTCAGAAGACAAGATATTCACTTATAAGTCCACAGAGGAAGAAGTAGAAACATCAGCAAAGTCACTTCAGTCTCTCTGGACTTCAGTTTCCTATCTGTCAAACTTGAAAGCTGATTTCTTCCCAGTTTAGAGAACTATATAATTATGGTCTAAATGGGGTTGGTCACGGATAGCTAGGTAGGGCAGAGGATAAAGTGACAGGCCTGGAGTCAGGAAGACTCATCTTTGTGAGTTCAAATCCGGCCTCAGACCCTTACTAGCTGTGTGACCCTTGGCATATCACTTAACCCTGTTTGCCTCAATTTCCACATCTGTAAAATGAGCTGGAGAAGGAAAGGGCAAACCATGCCAGTATCTTTGCCAAGAAAACTCCAAATGGGGTCACAAAGAGTCAGACACAACTGAAATGACTGAACAACTAAACAGTAGTTAGGAGTCAGAAAATCTAGCTTCTAGTCCCTCCTTTTCTTCTCTCTATATGGGTTTAAAGAATTCACTCTTTGGGCTTCAGTTTCCTCGTCTATAAAATGGGATAAGTCTATTCTCTGATTCTTTTCAATTTAAGAGTCGATGATTTAATTTTTACTTATAAAGTGCTTTGAGCTCTATGCAAAGAGGTAGCACAAGAATAGTACAGAGATCTTATTACATGCTGAACTTATTCTATTGTTCTTTCTCTCTAGTGAATTTATTACTGTGCTACAGGCTAGTAAGGCCTGTTTCCAATATGTGTCATGTTGTCAAATTAAAATGGAAACAAAACACATGAAAATTACACAGTATCCTTAACATTCTTCTGCAGACTTCTAGAAGTACTCTCTAATTTTATAAGATTTTATATGGAATCTAGTAGGTATTTATGTTTTTAATGTTCTCTAACATTTTCTTTGATTCATTCCCACCTTTCACTGGATAAAACATTTATTTATTTTGCCTTTCACCTCTGAGAATAAATGTAACATAATCCTTCTATCTTTTAAAACATAGCTACTTAATAAGGGAACTTCATGCTATTTTCTCTACTGTACAGATTAACAAACCAAAATAGAATTATTATGACCTTCCCTAAATCTCAAACAACAGACTTTTTTTTTTGAGTACCTGTTGCCATTTAGCCAGTCAACATGCATTTATTAAGTGTTTGCTATGTGCCAAGAAATATGTTATGCACTGGGAAGATCACCCTCACTCTCTCAAACCATTTCCTCCCACTAGCTCATTGTAGAGGAACTGCCCTCTGCCCCAGATGTAAAACCTTTTATTGTTAAGTGCCGTGGGACAAGGATACTGTATGATTTGTCTCTGAATCTCTGCAAAAGTCCCATTTCGATGCCTCAGTCATATAGAGGGATTCTGGACTCTTAAAAGCTTCTGCAAAGGAGAGCAAACATCATTGACAGGTACCTGACATGCTGAAAGCCTCCAAGAACTGTTAAGTGCATCAGGGCACTTAAAATATTTTTAGTACCAGCCAATGAATAAGGCTACTTTCCCTGAACCAGCCTAGGTAAGGAGAAAGACTCCTCATTAGTAAGCTGGTCATGTAGTGATGAATTATTTTGCTGTAGCAATCCATAAAACACAGAAAAAGGCAAAATGGCCTGTGATGTTGCATGACCCTCATCTACTTCCATAGTCACAGGGATGACACAGTAGGGGAACCTAGGGGTGCTACAAATTACAGTTTTTAGGCCACCTATAACTATTAAATCACACTCTAAATGTAAGATCCTTGTCCCAAGATCAGCAAGTTGATATACAAGAGGAAATGAATCATATCAATCTTGAGTCTGGACATTTTTGCTATGAATGAAATTAGAAGACAATTAAATGGAAGGATTGTTTGCAGGTCACCTTAAGGGGGCCATTTAAGGAGCTGTTTTTTATTGCTTATACCAAGGCAAAAAGAAACATCTTTTCAAGACCCACTTGGTCCTCCCAAATTGTGGTGCCAGTTGACTATTTTCAATAATACCTCCATGAAGATAATTGTAGCTTATGTGCCAAAATATGTTGCAGAGGATGATGAAGTAGAATATTTTTACTTGATGAGCACTTTCTGAGACCCTCCAAATTAAATCTGAACAAACAAACAAAAAAAGACTCCAGGTTCCTAAATTTAATACTCTGTAATAAAAAAGGTGGACAATAGAGGCAAAAATTGGAAAATATGGCTCAAGAAATAAGTCAAAGTCTTGTATACCTCACAGAAGCCTCATGCCCATTTATTATGAACATTTTCTTCAGGAATAGAGTCAGCATGTACTGGCATATGGTTAGCACTGAGTAATATCACAAAATAAAACAGATGAAATTTTAACATGCAAGAAAGACAGGTAGCTGATATGGGAGTCATTTCTGAATCAGCTATCAGTGTACCATTGAGCCACTGACTTGTTAAGCAAGATAAAATCAATATTTAACTGGAAAAAATTAAAAGCTATTGAAGACATTTAGATAGCTCCAATATGAGCTATTTATAAATGAGATGGTAATGCTAAAAAAAGGAATTACTATTAATGCTTAAATAAAAAAACAGAAATTGGCACAGACTGCCACTTTTTCCTAAGGAAGCTTAGCAGAAATCAATCACCACAACAAAGAGACCAAAACTGTCTAGAAATCACTTCACTTAGAAAATACTTAATCTCTGTGCCAAGTAAAGAAAAGATGACAGCCACAGGTAATAGCACTTAAGAATATAAACTAATGTGGGAAAACATTACAGAGGAGGATGGGAGAAAAAAATAAGCAATATAGTCTCAAACTGTGAGAATTTATATCTGGAAAAACAAGGTTACAGAGAAACTTAATTAAGGCAGGTAATCCTAAGAATAGTTAAAGATAAAACTGGACAGCAATAGATGTACACTTGAAAAATAAAAAAAAATAGTCATCTAGATTTCTATAATAACTTTTCCTTCATAAATAAGAGTAGAACCATCACATTTAGACTCTAATATCATCGTCCCAGACATGTTGTATGAAGCAGAAATGGTATTGTGAGGAAAATAGAAAGAGCACCTGAATCAGAATAAGGACATGCAGACCCATTCTGTGTTAGATGTAACACAATTGTGAAGGAGTTGAAGGATCAATTCATAAGGCACATGTGAAAACTGAGAGAATAACAAAAATTTAGAAAAAAATTGTGGTAAACAACATAAATTATGAGTCAGAAAAAATCAATAACTTCTTAATTTACCCAACTCTTAAAAAAGTCATTATGAGAATACATATATATATGTATATATGTATATATATATTATATATATACACATAGTGACAGTATCTTTGATAAAGGAATGTTGAGGGAATAGACAGGTTGTTCACAGATGTTACTCTACAAAAGATGACATCTTTACAGTAACATAATTGACTGAAAGTTATAGAGAATACATGACCCCACAATGCTTATTTCTTGTTGACTAAAAAAGAGCATATATAGCAAATTTCCAAGGTATCTAACTCCCGTTCATATGCAAAATAGTGCAAGCTTCCTTGAAAAGATATAAGAAGAGTGAACTTTATTCAGTGACTTTGTGATGATTAATAGCAAATGAAGATATAAGAGAGGAAGACACATACTCACCAAAGTTGTCTGCTATTCTGATGGAAGGCATCCAGCTATGAGTTCAAATGGAAGAGGGGTCCCTGCAGATGTTCCTGTTCAAAGGTAATGTTGTGCTGATTGGGTCAAGCCCTGGAACTCTGCTGAGCCTCCTAAATGAGATCCATGATTATTTAAAATATTCTGACCTATTAACATAGTTCTAGGGGATGAAGATTCTTATTCTCTAGCTGGTGACATGCATTTAGATAAGTAGCCCACAGCACAAACACTGAAAATGCACAATAAACTGGACCTTGAAGGAAGGATGAGGAAGCGGAACTGTATTTAGAAAATTGTACAATGCTTTCAATGAGCCCAACTTCTCACTGGAAAAGGCCCATGCTTTTTAATAACAATATTCTCTTGGGGATATCTTATGATTGCGAGTTTCTGAAGAATTAAAATTGCTGGTCAAGGGGGCAATGAAGAGATATATAGTGAGCATAAATAAACCCCAGCACAAAACCAAAAAGAACTGCAGACCAGAAGCAGTGCCAAAGGTAAAAGATGCACATTTAGGAAAGAGGGTGAGCCAGTCATCTTGGGCATGTGCTGAGTAACAAATGGGATGCCCTCATACACCACTGCTATCTATGCAATGTCCAAAGATCTGGAGGAAGGACATTAGGACATCAGAAGGATCCCCCATGGAGGATTTGAAGGAAGGCCTGAATAGGAGTCACACAAGGTGAGAAAACTGAAGTTATGATATATACCACTGGAACAAGTCATATTATTCATGACAACTTACATATATATAACTAAAACTTTACATAACTTCTTGTCTGAGCCTCATGGCAACCTTATGAAATATATAATATGTTTGGAAGTAGCTAGGAGTCAGGAAGACCTGAATTCAAATGCAGCCTCAGACATATACTAGCTATGTGACCTGAGCAAGTCACTTAACCTCTGTCTGCCACAGTTTTCTCAACTGCAAAATGGAGATAATAATAGCATCCACCTCACAGGGTTATTGTGAGGATCAAATGAGATAATATTTGTGAAGTACTTAGCACAGTGCCTGGCACACAATAGGCTCTCAATGTTTGTTCTCTCCCCCTCTCCTTTATCAAATCAATCAAAGTAACCCTCAGTGTTTAGCACAGTGCTTTGCAACCAGTAGCAACATAATAAAAATAATTAGTTAAGTGGCTGAAAAGTGTTAGAGAGGATAGAGTACTGGCCCGGGAGTCAAGAAGATCTGAGTTCAAATCTAACCTCAGACATTTACCAGCTGTATGACCTTAGCAAGACCCTGGACTTCTATTTTCTAATCTATAAAACAGATAGTAATAGCACCTACCTCCCAGAGTTGTTATGAGGATTTATGACATATTTGTAAAGAACTTTGTAAACCTTGAAGCACTACATAAATGCTATGATTTTTGTTATTATTATTTCTAATAGTTCTTTAAGAACCTCCTTCAGCTCTGAAGGAGGTAAATGAGCACCAATAAAGCCATTTTATAGATAAAGAAACAAGTCCAGAGACAGGATATGACATTCTAAGGGTGATACAATTAGCAAGCATCAGAGCAGGAACTAGAATTCAGGGCTTCTCTGCCTCCAAGCTGAGTGTTCTTTCCCAACTAATATAGAGCATCTTAATTAATAAGTTATTTGAAAGACCCGGATGCAACTGAAACCACCCTATGTTCAGAGCTGCACAGAAACTTCTCACCATTCCTTATTCTTGGCCTAAGAGACCAGGTCTGCTTCTATCGCCAAGGTTAAATGACATCTCTTTGGCTACCCATCAATTCCATAACCATTTATTAGGTGCCTTCTGGGTGTCAGGTACCATCCTAGGCCCTAGGGATTCAAAGATGAAAAAAATGACACAGTCTCTATCCTCGATCAATCTAGTAGTAGCAAGAGACATTTATACAAAGAACAATAATATAGCTATTGTAGGTAGAGATATGGTTATATGATAGGAATATATGATATGTAGGTAGGATATGATTATATCATAGGAATATATATGTATACACATACATATATAGATGTGTGTAGATAGGAATAATATAGGAAAGGTCAAATAGAAGGAAATGAGAGATTCAAGGAAGGCAGGATAATTTTAGATAGAAGGTGAGGAGATCTAAGAAGGTTTGAAAAGGACATCTGAGTTGGGCTTTGAAGAATCATAAAAGGTGGAGATGGGGTGTGGGGCAGGGAGTTTGGTCCAGGGTTTGGATTGGATGTATCATGTGCAAATAACTAGAAAGAGGAAGTATTAAGATAAGATTGGGTAGCAGTAAACAGTTCATTTTGGCTAGAGTGTAAACCTGACATTAATTTCATAGGATCATAGATTCAGATGTCAAATGGTTCAACCCCTTGATTTTACAGATGTGGCAATTGAGGCACAGAGAAGCTGAGATATTTACCCAGGGTCACACAGTTAGTATCACCCATTTGCAAAAATAACACAGCCATAGCAAAACCACAGATTCACAAATAAATACTGGGTAGGAATATTACTATAGAAAAACAAAAGTTATAGGAGCTACCTACCACTGCTCTAGCAACAAATGAAAGATCCAAAGACTTTTGAGGAACCTCAAGACCTTGGAAAGAACAGAAAGATAAACAGCAAGGAGTCATCCAAGTGAAATCTTTGCAATATCAGGCCTCTTCTTAGAAACAGATAAAAATTCTGTGAGCTGGGAAATGAACACCCAACTAGTAGTATTTTAATATCAAGACAAAAAATAAGTGTTACATTTATAATTTTGCATTTCACAAGTTTGTTTTCTTATTTAAGCAAATCACAAAGGCAAACTTAAAAAAAATACTTCAGGTCCCTAAACTTTGATTTGTGGTTTTTTTTTTAATTGTGGGGAGGATGGCAGATCTGATTGGTGGCTACAAATAATATGAAACTAATCTATTACTTACAGCCTTATAGAGTTGTCTAGGTTATTGATAAGTTAAATGATTTGCCCAAGGTCACACAGTCATACATGTTACATTTGGAACTTGACCCCAAGTCTCCCTGATTCCATGGCAGCCCTCTATTATGCTGAGTACCCCTTACTTTCATCTGGTACCTGTATTCATTTCCTTACTTCAACCAGAAAACCTAAAACAGGAGGAGACATATAGTTTTTGTTGTTGCTGTTATTTATTTGAGTAATCTGGGGACAGTGGGAGTAAGAACAGCCCTAAAAATTGAAGTCTGAGTTTCTTCAAAGTACCAAATCAGATTCTTAAAAGGCAGAAGGGGCATGCCAGCTAGCCTCACTTCCCAACAAATGCAGAAATACACTCCACAGCATCCTCAATAAGTCATTTTTTTTTCAAAAAAAAGTCTGTTTGCACTTTCTGTGATAAGTGTGCCATCTCACACAGTAAACCATTCTGTTTTCAAAGAGCTTAAAGATTCTTCCCTGAGTCTTCATTTATCCCCATGCAACTTTCAACTATATCTTGTTCTGCCTTCTGAAGCTACTCATATTGTAAGTCTGCCACTATATGTAATCTTCTCCCTTCGATATGTAAATCACTCCTCAAACGACATGGCTTTCAAGTCTTTCATCAGATTGTAAACACTCCTCTTAAAAGGTATAGTCCAGAAGTGAATACTTCAGCTAATACCTGACTAGTACAACATACAGTAGAAACATTATCCCACCTTATTCTGGGCACATTTCAATGATGAGCATTCTTTGTAACAGTATGTTTCTTTGAGTTTTGGAGGAAGGTCACTAACCATCTGGAAGACCTTTCTGTGTATAAAACCTTCTGGGTGGAAATGATTCTGCCAAGTTTGAGGGTTCTTTTTAGGGAGAAGGAGGAGGTAAAAGAGAGAAACAGAAGGCCTGGGCACAGATAGAACACTGTCAAGTATAACAGTCTCAGTGTAGGTCACTCCCCTTTCTGTGTCAGGACATCTAGCACCTGTCAAAGAACCAATAGGTATAGTCTTCTCTCAGTCTAGTTAGCACCTCTGGAAAGACTTGGGTACAAGTCCTGGAAGTCTGATCTTTCAACCACAATCACAGCCAAGGCTCCCAGTTTGCTCCTGAGAGGAAAGAAGATTCTGGTGAGGAACAGAGAACTGCTGCTTCTTAATCCCCACACCAAAGTGGAATGAATGATCAATTTCCAAGTGTGTGCCTGTGTATTTGTGTGCATGTATTTTAGAAGGAGAGGAGATGTGAAAGAGGGAGTGAGCTAAGGAAAAGATGGCAGAAATATATAAGACATATTCCTCTTATGATGTCCTATCCCAACACCTCTTTAACATGAAGAGTGCAGCAAATAGACTCAGCCAGACTCTCCCCACCCCCAACACACATACACATAACAATTTGAGAGTTACATGCCACAGAGTTCATTCAGCTCTACTCAGCAGCTGAAAGATCTGGAATCATCCTGAGGACCCTGATGATAAAAAACAAATACTACCCCTACCACACATCCTTAAGCTGAGGGATTCCAGGGAGGAGGTGGCATAGCATCACCTTTGCAAATGACTACACCGACATCTCTTTCAAAGGCAAGTTAAAGGGGCCCTGTACTACATTAACAAACCCTATAGATGAATCCAGCTGTGGCCAAGCTGGTCTGCAAAACCTGAAGAAGAACAGGGCAGAAAGACTTGGCTCAAAACAAACACTAGGTGAATATTCAAGGGATCTTCCTTTTTAGCTCCAGCTGGCCATACCTCCCCCCTCCAGCCTACTTCATTACCTTTTTGAGCATCCAACCTCCTTCCTCCTCCTCAAACTCACACCCATCCCGAGTGTGTTTCCTACTCTACTTTTCAAATTCCTGACCCGATGCCCTCTCACTTTAGCCGGTTTTTATCTCCCATACCCTCGGCCAACTCCGATTTCCCCAAACGTCTCCATCACTAAGTCCCACAAAGCCAGTCGCTTGTCTGAAATCCTAGCTGTCCCCTATGATCACTGCCTCGTACTCATTTCCTTCTCCCAGCTTCCTTTGCTAGGATTCGGGTCCCCCACCTGCTCCACGTTCTGTTCCTCATCTATTTCCCCCTCTGAAAATCCCTACCTCCCCTCCAAGCACAGTACTCCTTTGCCTCTGCACCTGTCCATCCACAGACCTCCAAATCTGGCTTCCCTTGGCTTCTCCCTACTCTGGTTCGGATACCCAATCCCTTACCTTTCCCCCAGGTTTCCCTCTGCCCCTCCCACTGCCCCGGCTTCCCTGCCTAAGACCCTGTTCCTCTGCCCCGCACAATTCACTCTCCTACGTGCCCCTTCTCTGGCCCCCTTTCCACATGCCCTTCTTCTCTACCATCCTTCCCCGGCTCCCATGCTCCCTTCCCCCTTCCAACTACTCTTCCTTCCAACAGCACCAGTCCCCGTTCGCCCCTAACCAGTCTTTCCCAATCCCCATCACCGCTCCCAACTGGCCAAACTGCTCCCGGAGCTTGGAGAGGGACCGGAGTAGGGGGAGGAAGTGGAAAGGGGGGGCGTGGAGCAGTAATGCCGGCTCTCCAGCCTGCCAGCCGCGCCTCCTCTGCCGCAAACCCGGGCATGCATCCATCTGCTGTAGGGCACGGGACTCGCCCGGCTGCCAAGCCCTCGCCCCACCACCCAGCAACCTCAGAAACTTACTTGCCGGTCGCTGGGAGGTGGAGGTGGAGGCGGCGGCAGCTGCGGCTGCGGCTGCGGCGATTGCGCCCCTCTTGGCTGGGTGAGGCGGAGCGCGGCGCACTCCCTGCACTCCTTCAGGCCCCTTCCTCGTGAATGGGATCAGCTTGACGCATCCCCGCTCTGCCCCCGCCGCTGTGGCTGCCGAGCACATCCAGACATGCTCAGTTTTCTGACCTTCTCGGAGTGGAAGCTACCAAGAGCTGCGGGGGGGAGGGGGGGGGCGGGAGCGGAATAGGTGGGAGTGGTGGTGGAGGATTGGCAAGGCTGATGAGGAAAGCAAGTGAAGAACTACCGAGAGGAAACACCGATCCGGATGCTGCCACAGCTGAGAGAGGGAGCGAATGGGCGAGCTAAAAATAGCTCCTGCGGAAAGAACAGCTGGAGCTTAAAAGGACACAGCAGAGCACTCGCCTCCTTCTGACGCTGTGAGGAGCCCAGAGCTCCAGGCTGACTTGCTCACCCAGGAGCCCAGGAATGCTGGGGCTGCTGAGCCCGGGGGAGATATTTGTGCCTAGGATACAGGTCCCATCCAATGGTAAATTAACTCAACGAAGCTCCCTCCCCCCAAACTGCCTTTCTGAAAAGCCTACACTGAAGGGGTAGACATTTATCCCCAGCCAGGCTCCAGATTCAGGCTCTCTCACCTGCCATACCACCCCAGATCTCCCGTACACCCGATTCAGGGTGCCCAGTCATTGACATACACCAATTCCCGGGAATCCCCATCCGCGTCGAAAAGGGAACACGGTTGAGCTGCGTGTATTGAAGAAATCTCTATCCTCACAACTGCGCAGACCAGCTCAGCTGCTGGAGTCACATAGGAACAGGGTTACCCTGCCTTTCCGTAGCTGCTAGGGGAAAGAAGAAGAGTGGTCTGACTCAGGCCAGGTATGAAACCTGAAAGGAGGTGAAGCAGGGCAGGTGTGTGGCTGGTTGTGGGAGGCGGATGCTAGGAAATACTATGACTCTTTAGTGGGGGCAGAAGCTGAATCTCTCTGCAGATCATGAGTCTTAAGTCCACACGTGATTTTACCGTGTTCACTCGCGCGCGCGCACATACACACGCTTATACACACGCAAAACACATACACAACTGGATATACGAAGGTTCTTATGTCTCTGGGTAACTGACCTATAAATTAAGTCTTCCCTTCTGTTTTCCCTCTCCCTTTCTATCTCCTGTTCCTTTACCCCCTCCCCCTTTACCACACAGCCTTCAAAAACGGAAACAAGGCTTACTGAATGACCATGCATGCGTGGTCAACAGTTCGATTCCGCCATTGAAACCTGACTATTTGGGGAAAATTGCAGGTTTGCGAATCATACCGATTCTTACTTAAGACATTTCTTCATGAAGACCCCTGAATCTGTCTAGGCACTCCAACTACTTCAATAAAAACCAAAAAAACAAAAACAAAACAAAACAAAAAAACAACCACCTTGGAGTAACCCTTAGGAAAAACATCTTACTTCCTCTGAAAGACAGCTGCTGAAATGGAAAGGGGGAGAGCTGGGTTCAAGCCTTCCCTATGTGACCTTGAGCAAATGATTCAACCTTTCTGGGCCTCAATTTTCTCATCGGTAAAATAATTCCTCCTCTGCCAACTTTATAAATTTGCTGTGAAGGTCAAAAGAGTTAATACATTTCAAAACTTTGTAAAATTTATATATAGATGTCTTTACATCTATATATAAAGATAATTATTATCCTCATTTCTCCAATTACTAATTTGAACTTTAGTAATTCATAATGTGGGCAATTCATATTTAATACATGTGCTTTTTATAGAGTAAGGCATTCAAATGTATTTTTTTTCCTTGCAAAATTTCAATCTTACAAGTGAGGGGAATATTATTTGAAATAAGTAGTTTTTTTCCTAACCAAGAGCTAGAGCAATTTAGGATTCCTTTAACTTGGGAGTACAATA